GGGGGGTTGTATTCGGCCAGGCCATGAGGCAAGTGGGAGGGATTGGCATGTGTTGTTTTGGCATGTGGTGTGGTGGTTTATTTGGTGGTTAAATTGCTAAAGTTGTGGCATGTGTGTTTTGTTAAGTAATGGATGTTTTGTGTCTGGTTTAGGGGACATAGTGGGGGCCTTGTTGGGTGGATGTTTTAAGGGGTAAATGGGTTTGTTTTGGCTTCTTGTTTTCGACCAACTTAAGGGTTATGAAGGGGGTTTTGTTGGGTGTGTTTTAACATGGTCTTGAGGGGTGAATGAGGTAGGGTTTTGGGGAAGATGGGTTCGGCCAAGATGAAAAGGAGAAGGGGGAGAATGGTTAAGGTTTAGTATTGTTTCTGGATTGTAGGGATTAAGGAGGATCATGGGTTTAAGGACCTTCAAAATGGATCATATAGCTTAAACATAGGTCCTCGGCTTCCCCCGGGAGTGTAGGGTATAGGGCGAACCATGATGAGGCTGAGCCCAGATATATCACACAATCTCACTTCCACCCCATCCTCAATTTCTCACATTTCCCTCACTTCCTCTCATTACCTTCACCGGCCAATACGACCCATTTTCGTACCCGAAAAGAATATTTAGTGTAGATTTTGCTTGATGGAGAGTTTTTGGTTGGAAATATCTTTAATGATGTGTGTTGATTCGTGTTTGCTTTGGTTGAAACCTGATTAACATATGATTGCAAAGTGGATAGACTTTGCTTTGTCTCATATGCTAGCTTATCATGCACACATTTCCATGGCAGGGGACTAGTATCATACCATTGAATAACACCGGTGGATATGCAATCTCATGTGTGTATGTTTTGGTAGCATTTCTCTTGTATTGCATGCACTTTTTACCCATTAGGGAGCCTAGTACCGTACCATTAAATAACACCGGTGGGTAGGTAAGCAAAAAATAAAATAGAATAAGTGCACAATTGAGTAATGGGACATTTGTGCTTTTAGCTTGCATTCTTGGAGTATACCTCAATGGAGGGTCGAGCTCCAGAATCTACCTTGTTTCGCCTAAAATGCATGAGCCATAGATGATAGTCTCTTAAGGTGATTTCCTTGAAATGCGCACCACATCTTTTTACCAATCATGACTTTTCTTGATAGCGGGTTAGCATTTTGGATTTCTTTCTTTCCCACACACACAAAATCCTGAGCCATCTCACCTCAACTACCTTTTATCCCTTCACATCCATCTATCGCTAATCCTTCTCTTCCATTTAATAAAAGACCTCTTGATTGTGTTTAAAGCTTAGGTTGTGAGAATTCATCCTTGAGTGATAATATGAGCGAATGAGAAATATCGTGTGAGCTCGTGTGATTCTCTCGAGTTTGCTTTTATGAAGAACCGTTTGTGAAGCATTCTTTAGTTGTCTTGGTTCATATTCTTTGCATATGCTTGACTCTTTGATTTGACATATATCAGCATGAGTGCATATTTGTTCTCATCTTGTGACCATAATTCTTGATTGCTTGAGGACAAGCAATGATTCAAGTGTGGGGGAGTTAATAAGTCTGTTGCTTGTGTATATTTTATTATCTTTTGATGGACTTATTGACTTAGATTTTGAAATTAATTAGAGCTTAATTGATTGATTTTGGAGCCCAAATTCAAGTGGGAGACTGGATTGCAAACAACTTTAAAGTTATTGGGGCCAATTTATAGTTTTCAAAAGTGCATCAGTTGTTCTAATTGAACCTCCCAATTGACGGTTCCCTACTACGAGAACTCACGCTCGCGACCCAACGATCACGAGCAACCGGCAATTTATGGCCGACGACGAAGGAAACCAGTAGCACTGGTCGCTTTCGGCGTTTAACCGCCTCCATTATTCTAGCGCCGACCCAGACGCAGCGAGGCGACCCAAGCATGCGACCCGGTGACCAAATTCTGCGACCCGCCCAGCGACGAATGGCGGCGCACCTCCAATTACATCGAAACAGAAGAAGCATAGCGACGGAAAAGCTCCAGCTCCAGACCAGAAAAATTAGAGTGCAGAGAGGAAAAGGAAAGAAGCAGGCCTATCACATCTAATTTGGGCATGAAAAGACCACATTACCCCTAGTTTATTTCTTTCTTCATTTTTAGATTTCTCCTTAAGTGTCATTTTACTCCCACTTCTCTCTACTCTATATATACTCCCCTAACTCCAATTTCTCAAGGGAGCTCCCCCATTTCAATTCTCTCCCTTTTAGATTAGGTTTTTGTTTAATCTTCATCTTCTTCACTTTGTTGTTTTACTTTGAGAGCTCCAACATTTAGACTTTAAGTTTTTATTTTTTGTTTATTTGCTTCATAGTATAGAATTTATTTTCTCCATCTCATTCATGCTTTTTATTTATACGCATCCCTCTTATCTTTTATGCTTACTTAGATTTAGCATGCTTGTCTAGATTTTCTAGCCTAGGTTAGGTAATGCATTGTTGAGTAATGTTTGTTGTCATTGGATTGTGGTGAATTTGAGATCTTGATTTGGGTTGTTTGAGGAGCTTGTGCTTTATTTAGACTTGTATGTCGTTGTTGGCCATGATGGCATACTTGTGTTCCGGAATGGTGTGTAAATCACCGAAGAATCGGTATTTAGAACCCTGGCCATGACTCTCCCTCTCAAGTCCTAACACAAAAGTAGAGAATACTTGAGGAGCTTGGTAATCTTGTTGTGGTTCTCTTGAGAGAGCGCCACGGAAGTGGGTTCTTACCAAGAGAATTCATTTTGGATTTTCACAGAAGTGAAATCAGGGTGATTTGCTCGCATTCTATTCGGTTTCTCTTGTTCATCTGGGTTATTGGCAATTCGCATGATTGACTTGAAATCCCTAACCTAGGCTTGCTTTCATTAACTCGCATTTCATTGTTGATCTTTGCATTTTATTAATTTAATTCACTTGCATATTATTCACTCTCTTCTCTTTCTCTTCGGCCTTGATTCACATTATACGATTCGATATTGGTGTTTAGTTACACCATGCACTTGATTCCTAACCAATCACGCTATCCCCGTGGACTCGACAGCCCTTACTTCCACCACTTCACTCGCTCGTTTCCTTTCCCACATTCCATTCCACTTCACCTTTCATCTTTTTGATCGGGGGTTTTCAGCGTCAAACGACGCGCCAAAAATTCCCCGCATCAGTCAACGCCCTACTTGAATAGTTCATTGCCTAATTGAATAGTTGACAGCTTTGTTTTCAACACCCTATTCGAATAGTTCGTCACATATTCGAATATTTTAGCAGTTGCAATTTCCCATTCGTATTTAACTATCACGAACACCATTGAAACTCATATCCCTCGAATCTTGAAGAGTTCTTTATCAATTTGATTAATCCTTTATTCAAATATCCAAGCAAGAGATCATTGTTGATCATATTCCTTCCTTGCTTGAGTTTTATTCTCATTGCTTGAGCCTTTGGGAGATAAAGCCATATTTTATAGAAGACATTGTATTGCAGCAGTCTGCTCTTATGGGAGTAATTGTAACGCTGTTTTTGTTTTCTTTTTTTTTGAGAAATGGTGTAATCGTCTTGACATTGGGATTAAACCAAGTGGGTTGGTAAAAATCCTATTCCTGTGTGAAATCAAATGTTACGTGGAAGAAATCTCGAGTTTTCTGAAATCAAGGCTTTGGTGTTAAGATAAGATCAAGTTCTTGAGTTGTACCAGATTGTCAAACTCTATTAAGTTTGATGGGTTGGTAGTGAAGGCTCGAACACAGTTTTTCGGGGACTGGATGTAGGCATTAGGCCGAACCAGTACACATCATTGTGTTCCTTGTTATTTTCCTTCACTTTCTTTTGTTTGTAGTGTGTTGGTTTTGATCGATAATTTATCAAGAACACTTCCGCGAAAAGTCAACCATTTGGGCAATACCTCTATTCCCCCCCCCCCCCNAAAAAACAAAAGAAGAGGAGTCTGATGTCAAATTATTATAAGGCCCCGTTTGGTACACGGAATTCAAACTATGGAATTGGAATTGAGGACTCCAATTCCAATTCTCGTGTTTGGTAGCACAAGAATTATATGGATTTAGAATTGATGGTGCAAAAAATGAATTGGAATTGGTGAATTCAATTCTATGGAATTGAATCACATGGAATTTTAATTCTAATTCAATTCCAATTCCATCAATTCCGTGTACCAAACGGACCCTAATAGCATAGCTGAATTCGAATATTCGATATGTCTAAGTGACCCAAACACCTAGTTACCCCATTTTGACAGTGTGATAGGAATACCAAAGATAATAGAATTTCTAGCTGACATTCCTTTCCATGAGAGCAATACCTTAGCAACATATTTTGTGTCATCTCCCCTCCTCTTCACTTTAACCTGTAAGCAAAATGCACATTTAGCTACAGTAATAATTTCTCTTGTTCCTTTATGTATATGCATTTCTAGGAATGAAAGAAGAAGTATGAATGTGTTAGATACAGTAGCTATCCTGAAAAGCATTAGAGAGCAACTTGTTTTTTTCTATTTTCTCTTATTAAAAAAGAATAAGCTAGCAGGAAGACCATAAGAGAATGTTTCTAAAAGAAAAATTCCTTAAAACTTATTAAGGCAAAAGTGCTAAAACAGAAATAGTAAATATGTGGTATTATACATGCCTGTGCATCATGCTCGATGCAATGAGCATTTGTCAAAAGCTTCTTACCCCCAATCATAAAGGCACTGCGCGGATTAAAATTAAAAATAAATGCATAATAAGCCTTTAATATATAGTACATCAGTGAGACTCAATAAAATTATGTAGAAAAAGGAAAAGATAACATGCCTTCCGGTACTTGTATATTGTCTTTGCTTCTGCCAGGGAAGGGAATAGTCTGGTGCAGTATGTGTACAGTAGACCTTGATAAGATTGGAAACCACATTGCCACAGGCCCACAACAAACCAGAAGTTAGTCTGTGATCAAATGCTTTTCTTAACGGCCATCAGCATACAAAAATTTTTAACATTTGGAAATGAATATAACTGAGAGAAAAGAGAACTCCCTGAGCACACACTATTTAGAATAACTTCTCTAAAGGAAGAATGTGTGTACCTTCACTACAGCGTTTAAAAAATTTGCATCTTGAAGATTACTAGTCTCGACCTGAAAAATATTGTATGGAACTTGAGAATAACTTGATAGCTATAACACTCAATTTTGGAACCTTTAAAAGGAACTTAAGAATAACTTGATAGCTTTCCCAAATTATTTGTCCCGGTTTTTCTTTTTTGGACTGTCCCATAATATTAGTCCACTTTCCTTTTAAAGTAACAAAAATAACATAAATCATCCATTTTGCCCTCAAATCTAATCTGGATGTCTCTCTTATTCATCGTAAATCATGTACCTTCGTAAGCCTTCTCTGTCTAAACTAAAATGGCCACTTATGGTCACATAACTTATTTCCAATATTTTTGAGTACTTAACTAACCCCGATTGCTGCATGGTTTTACATGAATTTTACTTAAAATTTGGACTATTTTTTGGCACTATATATATATTTGGGATGAGACTCTTTTTTGAGATAGATGGAATATCCGAATATTTGACACAAATAGCATGAGAATGGGTAACCATATACTGAACAATAAAGTAGGTCACTTGTCTTCTTTACCTGCTGCTCCTTTGAGTCAAACTGAACTCCCTTCCCTTTTCTCTGCAGGCCAAATGATTTACCGGCTAATGACCGAGACCTCCCTGCTTTAGTTCGATTTTGGCCATTTGCAAAATGACTTTCATCTTTTGGTCTCCCTTGGAGTTTCTGCAAAGCAGCTTCATTCTGAACTTACCCTTTTTCTCATTTAATATAATCATCGTTTTTAAAAAATTGAATGAATGGAAACCCCTCTCTTTGTGCATTAAGTATGATGAAATCAAAATTTTATAATAAAGTAGGACAGACGAGAGGCAATTTTTACTGAATAGAACACTGTTTGGCATTAATTTAAATTTCAAAGTAATGTTCTACACTCCAATAATAACATACAATGTTGCGTAGAACTGAAATACTAAAGCATGAGCTTGTGCCTTTGTGGACACAAACTTACGAGCACTAATAATGATAACGACCTTCCAATTTAGGCATACATAATGAATTAGTGAATAAGTACTTTGACACCGATAGAAATAGAAATTCATAGGTCACCCAAAGAAAATACGGAGTAAATAAAGATCAAGCAAAAAATGTGCCATTAGAGAACTTAGAGTTCAACACAAAAAATATTACTCCCTTCATCCCATGATAAAGAAAGTTATGTTTCAAAGGGGTAAAAGTTATCATTTTTAGTAAGGCCTATTTCTGGAAATCATCAAACATAGCTATATTTTAACACGGTTTGCTGGTTTAACTAAATCCAACACTCAACTTGTTTGGAGCACTTTTTATAGAAATGCATCAGATTTGATGAACTTAAGCATTTTGTTCACAGAGGACATTTTCTTGAAACAAATACTCCATATGTGTTTTGAAAAAAATGTTTTTTGATGCAGGAAGTACCCATATTTTCTTTTTCTAGACTAATTTTGGTGTCAGGTATGTGATTTGGACCCAAAGCTGTCCTGTTTAGTTAGTCCAAGATACAATTCTGATAACCAAATTTTTTAAGCCCAAAACAAAACAACGTTGCCGTTATCATCATCATCAAACCCGATACAATCCCAGCTTATTTGGGGTCTCGAGTCAAGATGGGCGCAACTTTACACCCAGAAAAAACAGGTGGCTGTTTGTGTTAGACACTTGTACCCAAAACTTCATTGGAAGTAAGAAGCAAGGGAAGTTTTTTAAGTCATTTTAATTTACTCCATTTTTTATCCGAAACAAAAACAATTTCAAAAATGACTCCTTTAAAAGTAAGTCCAAATACAAAGATCATTTTCAAGCAACAATGTATAGTTGATGACTAATCTGTTGAGGTACTCCATTTGAAATTTATTATCAGCTTAATCATTACCCAAAACCAATACCAAAGTAAGGTTCAATGAAACAGACAAAGTCAGTGTTTAAATAGGAGCAAAGGGGGTATTATTAATCAATAAAAGGTTAACACACAACAGAGATAACTGGCAAAAGCTTCAAATATAGATCTTGACTCTTGAGAAATACCTCTTTGGGAGATACGTAACTGCGGGGAGGTGATTTATTGAGACTCTTCTTTCTTTGGTTCGGTTCCTGATTTGGACTTTGAATGGGGGCCTTCGCCTTTGTAACAAAAAAGCGGGACGATCTTTGGGAAGTAGTGAAGAGCCGTTGAGAATATAGAGAGCGGGTAGTGCCGGCGGAGGTGACCGCCGTAAACCAGCAAACAGCGGCCGCGAAGGCCATTGAGCGCCGAAGAGTAATAATAATAGTGTTTGTGGGCAAATAGCAGCAGGAACGGCGGCGAATTAGATGAGAAAAACGGAGTACTGGTTTCTCTTATCCAATGGTGGGCGATTGTGGCCTGAGAATGGTAGGGTCACATTTCCTATACCCTACTATACCGTACATCTGTTTTTTCGAATTTCTCGTACGAGTGAATTGGTATTGAGTAGATCAAAAATCAATTCAAAATAAATTTAGAATTATTGTCACAATTTAATAACTTTTGAAAATTATTATAATCATTCATATTATAATACAATCAATAACTTTTATTTTAATACTAGTACCATACTCATGTGTTGCACGGATCATATTTAAATTACTAAATTATATTAACACCATTTTTGAATGTCACAGATTAGTATATAATGGAATATAGAGATTTCATTTTTTTAAGTTACAAAAATTAAATGATTTACAATATTTGAAAGACTACTTTATAATTCACATTACTCGTATAAATTTGTAAAAAATTGTCTTCGTTGCATATTAGAATCTTAAAAAAATTATGATTTATTACTCTTGAAACTACAGCATACATTTGTCCATGAATAAAATATAAATAACATTAATCAAAACCCCAGTTAAAAATTTGTTCAGAGTTAATAGTGTTGTTTTTTTAATTTTGTCAAATTGCTAATAAAGTGAAAATCTATATATACTCCATAAAAACAAAGGAGCATTTATAAAAAGAAACTAAAATTTTTTGCAGTGATTCGTTTTTACAGAAAGCAATACCACTTAGATCAAAATGGTAATAAGTTTTAATTTTAAACTTGGAAAAAATGGTAATAACTATTTTAAATAAAGTTTTAAGTAAATGAAAATTTCAAACTTAAAACATGGTAATAAGTTTTAAACAAATATGGAAACTTTTTTAATGCTCATACGAAAACTGTCATTTTTTAATAAAAAAAGAAACATATTCCCCTTTACCATATAATTATTAATTAATAGAATCCAAAATTACCATAGCAACACTTAGAGGGTGTTTGGCAGTGTGCTGCTTTTAATAATTTAGCTTCTACTTTAAGTAGAAGTGATTTTACTCTATTTGGCATGTCAGCTTCTGCTTTTAACCACCAATAATTTGTACATAAAACACCGTTTCGGAGAAGCATGTATGAGGTGCTTTTGCTTTCAACTTTTGTGGAAATCACTTTATCCACAACTTAATTACTCCCAAACACTCTCTTACTATTACCTGATGTAGCATTTAAATAAATAGAAACATATTCACCTTTCTGAATTACTATTTTCGGTGTTATTAAAAATAAAACATATTAATGTATTTAAATAAAAATAAAAACATTTTTAATGCTCATACAAAAACATAATTTTTTTAAATAAAAATAGAAACAAATTCCCATTTATCACTTATCATTAATTGGAATAGCATTTAAATAAAGATCGAAACATATTTTCCTTTCCAGTTTACTGTTTCGTTGTTATTAAAAAACAGATTGATATGTTTAAATAAAAATGAAAACAATTTTAATTCTCATATCAAATTCTACATTACCGTGCAATATAAAAGGAAGATTTGCCTTTAATGCCGTGTGATAGTATAATAAGAAAATTAATACGGCATTAATTTCGGCCACTTAATACCGTGTGATAATATAATAAGAAGATTTTCTTTTAATTATAATAATTATTACTATAATTTCGGCCACTTACCATTTTAAATTCACATTTTCCATTTTTAATTATCATAACGCATGGGCGGGAAAATCATATGTTGACTCCATGTCTTTTTAAATAAAGTATGGAAGTATGGATTATTAGATTTATTAAATAAAAATAATCAATTTGTATATACATTAGAATAAAAATCATTGACAATAACTAATAATTGGAAAAATTCAATAATTTACTTTTTAATATTTAATATAGTAAAGAAAGAGTATTATTATTATAATATCCAATCATTAGAAAATGTGAATATTATGCTATAAAATATTACTTCCTTTGGTCCAAAAAATCTTTTTCGTTTTTGACTTTTTTGTCAAACATTGGCACTCTTTGACCATAAATTATGTGAAAAGTATATTTAATTATGATACAAATTCAACATAATTAGATTCATCTTAGGATATTGATGGATATTCGGGCCTAAGGAACGCGAATGAACTGCCCAATTGCAGGAAGCGATTTGGGCCGGTATCGGGAGATGCCTAGATTATAGTCAATTGGCCCAAGCGTAATGTAAAGGCCCTAAATTGTGCAAGGACGTAGAAAGATTAAGGGAAATATGGCGAGAATTGTGCACACGATGAGTGTCTATTATGTATGTAAACGTAGATAATATAAATAGAGGGGAACCCTCCATTGTAGGGCAAGTGAAAAGCACTGAAACACAGTTATTAATAGAAATATTATGATATTTATCAATT